ATAGAACAGATTCTTCTATAGTTCAACCCTAAGTGTCTCTATCCAGTTTCAGATGTCACTGGTTGAAATCTCAAAGGAGAGCGCCAAATGCAAGGTCGCTGCTGTTCAGGACCATATTAAGTAGGTTAAGAGGCATTACCACAGCTCCCAACAAAAGCTGTGAACTTGGAAGAATCCTATAATATGCAGTCCAGAAAATTATTGGAGATAATGAAATTTTTTTGCCTGTGAAAGTCTCCCAAAAGTTCCTATTTATTTTTGCTTCATTTAGACTGTTTCTATCCAAAGAAGGTCAATGGCAACTTACAATAAAGGACATAAATACAACATGAATAACGTATAAATAAAATATAAAAAACCAATAGGGAAGTAACTTTATTGGAATATAAAGCACTTCCTCCAATATAATTACTTTAAAGAAATAAAAATGTTGAAATGTACCTTCTGGTATTTCTCTTTTTACAGTAAGGTAATTCATTCACCATATATTTAGTGAGCTGGGCAGGGATATAAGAGGACTCAAAGGCTAAGTGGTATGATGGAAGGAACATAATTATGAAGACTATGGCTCAAGATCATAGTTAGGTTCTGCTAGTTTCGGATTAACCTATCTAAGCCTCAGTTTCTTTATCATTAAAATGAGGCTAAAGTCTACTTCATAAGATTGCTTTGAACAGCAAATGAAATATATGCAAATATAAATAGGATATGAATACATCTCTCAATAAGATTTCAATCTAAGAAGAAAACTATAATCTAAAGGGAGAAAGTGATGAGTGTCCTAAGAGTTACAGATAACATGATTGGGACTTCAGAAGAAAGAGAATTTGCGTCTAGCTTAGGAACAAGATTTCATGAAGGACAGTCCATGGTGGAGGGCAGGTCTCTTGAAGGATGACTAAGATTCAGTATTGCAGATGGGCAAGCAAAGTCAAGGGGGGAGACGATGGCACATAGCTAATGGCCAGTTGAGATAAAAATCCCCAATTCTACTCCATAGTATAGCATAATGGAACAAAATCAATAGAAAATCTACTATAGTTCTATTCAAAGCAATATTCAGGACAAGTTAGAGAAAATGACTTTTCATATCCAATTAATGTAATGAATCACACCATGGTTTGGTTGGCAGAGATAAAAGCACAGCTGAGGACTACTTTACTTTCTTCTGCACTTGTTTTGAGAGACACAGTAACTGCTCTAAAACAAAGTCCTGTAAGTGCCTTGCCCTGCCCTTCCATTGCCACCAGGCTTGCCAATGATTCTTGCAGCAAGAATGGCTTCAAACAGAAATTCAACTATAGATTTGTGCATCGAGGTCACTATTTACTTGCCTTTTCCACTTCAGAGGCCACCTAAGAGAAAAGGCTCATTTTAATTTCTAACAGAAATAATATTTGCGGTTCAGTACTTTTTCCAACTGCAATCACTTTGTTTCACCATGTGTTTTGGCCAGTGACAGAAGCTTTTAATACAAGTTTAGATGCTAAGAAGGAGATTTGCAGTGACCTGTATTGTTTAAAATGCATCTTATCTTTTAAAAACAAAATTAAACAAAGAAAAGAGTACTTGAAAAAAAATGCAAGATGTTAGGAAAGATCAAAAGGCAGAAGTTAGAAAGAAGGCAAAAATGAAAAAGGTATAAAATTAAAAGCCCTGCAGCAATTCCAGGCAGCAAACGGAAATTACTGAAGTTCTCTTTCTCTCTGGTATGTTTTTAAAGAAAAAAAAGAAAGTGATTCTCATGGGAGAGTAACACAGAAAGAAAAGAGGAAAACAGCTGGCTGTAGGCCATGATTTACCATTCACCACAAAATGAGATTCTGTTTCTGCTTCTCAAAGGCTATTGTTTTTTTTCCAAGCAGACATAGGCTCTACTTACACAAAGTCAATTCTAATGAAGAGACTGAAGACATAAGAGCTATAGATGCATAACTTAGAAGACAGGGCAAAGACATAAAAGTCAAATTCTATTCTAAAATATTACTAAAACAAAAACTCTACATAACCAAACTAGCTATCACATCCTAGCAACAACTAACTTCAAACAAAACAAAATACAGCAAAATCTAATTTAAAAAATCCCTTGTCTTTGTGATGGTGGCTTTTCGCTGGTAATTAATCCAAATGTGTGCAAATGATGTGGACACCAACTTCTTTTATAAACGAAGAATCCTGAAATAGGATCATCCACCTAGGTTGTTGTGGAATAAGGACAACCTGCTTAATTCTCCTTATACAAAATGAAAATGAAAAAAATAAATAACATTTTTCATCTGCTTGGGGAAAATTACTTATGAAATCAACAGTTTACGGATTTTAGAAGGGAAAAAAACATGCCACATATCTTAAAACAGAAGTTAAATTTAGTTTTATTTAAATGGTTGGTTGTGTCTTTGTTTCAAATTCCAACCTGGCCTTTTTAAAGTTACATTCAAACTATTACTTTTCTTGTATACTCAAGTCAAAAAGAAGGGAGACCTGAAAAGTATCTAGGTTCCAAAATAGGGTATGAAGGCTCTGCCAGTAGATTAGAGATAATCTTGTAATGTTTCTTTCTTTCTGTGTTAGAAAACAATTCCTAAAGGGAATACAAGGGTTGTTTGTTTTGGTTTTTTTTGGTCTGTTTTTGTTTTTTAGATTATGGCTAAGACAATGAAATGCTTTCCTGGGCTCTCCAAACTCTGTACTGGGAAACTTTTTGTGGAATCCAAAGAACATGGAGTCTGTTAAGGGTCCAACAAAGGCACAGAGAGGGTATGGTTGGCAGTCAAACTGGACATCTTTGGGGTCTTTCAGTAGTTTTCAATTTACTGGTTGAGGACTATGCCTTGACTAACAGCAATGACAAGGTAGTAAAACAAGGATCTGTTATTGTCATGAGATTATCCGTAAAAGCTTTAAATTTATGGAACCCAGATAGGGAAGGAAAGGAGGATTAGAGAGAAGGTTAAGAAACTCAGTTGAAAAGAAAACATTTTAAAGTAAAAGGAAGATAGAGGAGAAAAATTACAACATGTATCAAGGGCATTATTTACCACACTGCACATTTTGAAACTAAGGAAATTGTTTATAAATATGCCTGGATTTTCCCTTGCCAGCACACATAATTCTTAACTTTGGACTTTCTCCCTCAGAATTCTTCCTCATCTTCTCAGCTGCTTTCAAAATCAGTTTTGGATGCTGACTTTTTTTTTTTTTTTTAAGTAGACTATCTTTGAGAGCACTGTTAGGTTTATGGTAAAATTAAGCAAAAGGCAGAATTCCCATATATCTGTGCCCTTCTCCACCCCCCTCCCAGTTCCCCCAGTGGCAACATTCCCCACCAGAGTGGTATTATTTGTTACAAAAGATGAACCTACACTGACACATCATTATCCTCCAAAGTCCACAGTTTTTATTAGGGTTCACTCACTATTGGTGGTGTTTTTCTATGGATTTTATCAAATATGTAGTGATATACGTATCCGCTATTAATAGTATCAGAGAGAACAGTTTCACTGCCCTAAAAAAATTCTCTGCTTCGCTCATTCAGCCCTCCCCCACAAAGAATGTTGACTTTTAATAGTAGTTTTTTAATCAAAATTTATAAGCACAGACAAGACCCCCAAATTTTAGAAAAGTACTAAATTAAGTAGTTGTTACTCACTTGAAAAAAAAATTAACAGTATTCATCAACAGAAGTTTAATTAAGCAGCAACCAAATGCTTTCTTAGTGGTAAGCAAGATTAACAAAAAGTATTAGTGTTATTTAAAAGCAAATAAAAGAATTAAGAAGCTAAATGGGAAGAGAATAGAACACAATCAAGCTACTCTTAAAAGTTACATTATCTTTTCCTGTCCTTAGATTTCCTTTTGAATGCTGATTTTGTTATAAGAAATGTTTTCCCACGGCAAGTTACTATTTTTCAACAGCTTCCTAACCTAATATTTTGCATTTTCAAAAATCCAATTCTGGGCATGAACAGAATTAATGCTCAAGTCAGGAATTTTAGAAGATTAACTAATCGCAATATTGGCAACCATGATAGGCAAAAGAAGAAAAGTAGGTTCTACTCTCTCTCTGCAAAATTTCCTTCCCTATTTGATAAGGCACAGCTAGTTGAAATTTACCGCAAAGTAAATATGAACAATTCAATGGAATGAATCTTTTCTCACAGAACGTTACACTGGAATGTGACATCAGTATTCCTTCTGAGTCACAGTTTGGTCCCCATCCCTTTCTCCCAGGAGACCTGAGGTCCCTAGAACCAGGGAGCGGCTCAGGTACGACCGTGAGTCCTGACGCCCGGGGCCAGACAGGCGGGAACCATCTCCGAGCACTAAAAGCACTGGTGAGAGTCGCCGTTTCAGGCTAGCTGCCAACAAGGGAGAACGTTTCTTTGAGAGAGAACTTGTAAGAGGGAGGCTGTGCTTTGGAAGGCAAGAAATGAATGACCAAAAACAAACAAAACATCACCTTTCACGTTATCACCAGCCGCGGGTGCGAAGGAAGTACATTAATTAACTCAGCACTCACTTTAGAGAGTCTGTCAGCCAAGCGGGGAGGGGAGGAGCTGTCAGTCACACCAGTGCTCCTAAACAGAGGCTTAATAAAGTTGAACTTCCTGAGACAGGAAGAAGTGGTATCATGGTCTCGCCCGAACTTGCCCTAACCTCATCCATTTCTTTTTGGGAGGAACAAGCGCAACTGAAACATTTTAAGTGAAGTTTCAAACACTTCCAACCGTTGGACAGGATTAGACAAGTGAGAATGCCCCGCGGCCGCTCTCGCTCGCGCGCCCGATTCTCCGTCGCTTTCGGGTTTCAGGAGTTAACCGGGCTGCAGGGCACCCCCTCTACCCGGAGGGGCAGGTACATAGGCCCGGGGCACCGGAGGCCTGGGGCACCGCAGAACCGGAGCCCGCTCGCGCCAGGAGGCCCGTGCGCCCCACCCACCGCCCGCAGCAAGGGGGCGGCACTCCGCGCAGGTGAAGCGGCCGTCACCCGCGCCCCCCTACCTTCTTCACTCTGGCTTCCAGGTCCATGTTTGTGTATCGGAGGAGTTCTCTCTCCTGTCCCGGATCTCACTCTCAGGCTCGCCTGGATTCCACCTCCGCCGCGGGTACTGTCGGGGATCTGCGAGGTGTCCGGCGCCGCAGCCGCAGCCACACGCCCGGCGCCGTCAAACTTCCGCCGCCCAGTCAGCTGCAGCCGGCCTGCGGCGGGGACCGGGAACAAAGAGGCCCGGGCAGCCAATGGCAGCGGGGCAGCGCCGCGCAGCCGCCAATCAACGAGCGCCTCACGCACCTTAGCGGCTCGAGTGCTGCGCAGGCAAGGTGAGGGGCGGGGCCGCGTTCCCGGCAGTGCCCGGAGGAGTGAGCTCGGAAAATTTGGACTCAGCGGATGCCCTGGGCGTCTGCCCACCCGCTTGTAAAGAATAAGCGTCCAGCCTTCCTCCAGCTGAAGATGAGGAAGAGACCTTTCCATTTTGGCAGCTTGTACCTGTGTTTGCTTTGGACCTTAGATATGTGTCTTGGGGAGTACTTACTCCCACTGCTAGCTTCTTGTTTTATTTGCAGGACAAGGAGAAGGACAAGATATTGAGAAGATTGTTAGGGACCCCTGTATGGGCATTGCACCCTAATTTCACTATTGAGTTGTGGAGATGTCTTTTCCGAATGCTTTTCTCCACAGTCCAAGAAATGGCAAAGAACCCATCTCATAGTCTTAATGACAATGAAGATTATCATGCATATTTTCTGAGCATTCAATTATTCAAAAATTAAGACAATGTAAGTCACTTTAGAAACATGTTGTGTCATTCCTTTGGAAGTAGAGGCTCATTCTTTGTCCCTGCTATTGAGATGGTGTGAAGCTGCTCCTGTCTCATGCTTCGATGAAGCCAGAGTTTGATACGTCTGGATCTCACTGGAGAAGCAGCCGTGGGATCCATTTCGTGATCTAATTAAGGAGCAACTGCAATGAATACCATCGGATTGTTGGATCTGAAAGGAACGTATGGATTATTTAGTCTAGTTTTCTAATTTTGCAAGAAACTTGGGACACCAGAGGTGTAGGGACCTGCCTAATTTTTAGCCTCTTGGGGCAGAGCCAGTGCTCATGAGTCTTTAAGCAAAGTCTCCAGTATGTTTGGGACTGTAAACACAACATTTTAACTAAGTAAAATAGTCCTTTTTTTTTTTTGCAGTTTGTTGAGACAAAAGATTATAATGGGTATAGAGCAGGTGATTTCCTAATCTGGCATCTACTTTAAAATAATAGTAATAAAAAAGGGTCCCAAATAAAGTAAATATTTGGGTCCAAATGTCCCTCCCCTTTGCCTCTGGAAATTTGGTAACTGAAAATATCCAAAATTTATTTTAGTCAGCACTTCGACTTTTTGCTTACTTGGCTATTTGTTAACATTATTCAACAGATCATTGATTTATAATGCACATGCTTTCCTTATCCTATTAATAAACTAAGAATGAAATAACCAAAACGGATCATGAAGTAAAACTTTCCCATCCTATTTTCCCAATTCATCCTAAAACTTTGGGCCCCTACGTAGTTTACCCAGTGTAAGTGCCAGTGAACATGAAGTTTATGACAAGGCAATTTGGTCTCTTTCAGGGAGATTAACAGATGGAAAATGTCCAATAAAACAGTTTAAATAAGGCATCAAACAATTGTTGTAACATAAATTTGGGGCTTATTTTGTGGGATTTCAGAAATGACACTAAGAAAAATATCTGGAAACATTTTTTTTAACTATCAAATTCTGCTCTTTCTCTTTCCTGCCAACCCTCCTGGCATCACTTTGTATGTGTATCATTGACAAAGATGGAAGTTGAAATTCAGCGATTTCTATCTGGACTCATTACTGTGCCAATTATATGGAAAATAAAATTGAGGTAGGTAAGTGCTAAGTTAGGAGGCTTAGATGTGAGTCAGTTAGCTATTAAAGTGTTTAGCTAGATTTTAAGGAGTTGGAACTGGTACTACTTGGTAGTCGATGACAGAAGAATGAATAGAGGATGGCACACTGTTTCTAACTTGATCACCTACGCAGATATTTCAGGAAAAGAGAAAATAAAGGATGAGAGGCAGAATTTTGTTTAGTTTTGCTTCCTTTGGGGGGGGTGGTAGAGATAAAGGGTAGGGTTTTGAATATATTGAGTTTGCGGTTGGAATATTGAAGTGAGGTATCTAAAGATAAATCTTAGAGTTGAGATCTGGACTGGAATGGTGATTTAGGAGTCAATATCCTACATAGATAAATAATTGAAAGCCATGGGTGGAATAAGATCAGCATGGGAGATTGCAAAATAAGAGTATCAGTGACTATAATTGAACAAAGCTGAGCAAGAGAAGCACAGAAAGGAAATGAGTCAGAGGGTGAGGAAAAGAAAAATGGAGTAGAGTCTTAGAAACCGAGAGAGGGAAGTTAGGAAGTAATTAGTCAACAATGTCAAATGGTAGAGGAGGGTCAAATGCCTATTTGATTTAACAAAAAAGAAATCATTGGTAAACTTGGGAAATGCTAGCTATATCCCACGTGAAATATGGTGGCCAAAGTAAAGTAGTAGCAATGGGTATGGAGAGTTAGAAAGAGTAACCAGTGATATTAAAGAGATAGAAAATATTGGAATTGATTGATTTGAAGGGAGGGAAGATAAGGAGTCTAGAAAGACTCTCAGGAATCTATTTTGGGTGACTGGTATGGTAGATGTACCTCACTCCCTAAGGTAAGAAACAAAAAAGAAGAAAGACTAAAAAAGATAATGGGTTTAGTTTGGTATATATTGGTTTTGCAAGGGCAATTTGGATCGAGTCTGGTGATCAAAAGAAAGATCAGGGCTAAAGATACAGATGACTGATTATAAATACATAGACACACATATATAGGTATACACAAATACATATGTGCATATAAACACACACACAGCAAACATAGAATAAACACACTCTACTCCAAAAACTTACAGTCTTGTATAAAGCTGAAGTCAATTTGCAAGATAGAGATGACTACACCTGTTTCCTCAATTATTAATGCAGTCCCAGGAGTCCTCTTTAGAGTGGTTAATCATTTATTAACATCTGTTAGAAGAACTCCTGTGCTACTGATATAGCTGTTGTTGCTCATTAGCAGCTTGTATAGGATTACACATTGTTCTACATCTCAGAGCAAAGTATTAACTGTAAAAAAGAAGTTTTTAATGACCAAACATTAGAGATGTAGTAAATAATACTGAACAATAATACTTAAGAATTTTTGTAATAGTAAACACTTACAATGTAATGGCGACAAAATAAAATATAGAATTATATATACATTATGCTCACCGCTCTGCAAAATACCATGCACAGAAAAGGAACATAAGGAAAATACACTAAAATGTCAGCCGTGGTTTGCCTTTGATTGGTGGGTCCATGGGGATTCCTGTCTTCCTTTAAAAAAAGAAATTCCATGATGAGCATGACATATTTCTTAATGGAAAAAATCTTATTTATATTATTTAAATATGTTATTCAAAGCATTGTAGAAAGATGTGGTTATAGCAGCATAAATTTCAATCTCTCTCAAAACCCAAATTAAAAAACAAAGCACACAAAAACAGATCAACTAATTAGCAAAACCAAAAACACATGGACAACCTTTACCATAAAACTAGGTGACATAGTGTTTCCATAAACCTAAAAACACAAACAATGAAGACAAACAACCAAAAGCTGCAAGACATGTATTTATAAACAATTTTGAGGAAGGCAGAAGGGAAGCAATAGGGCTATTGGACGGACAGGAGAACTCAAAATATTCTCCAGTTATTCATTTTAAAACACTAACAGCAACTTAAACAGTAAGAATGATTGAAGGGACTAAAGCAATCTTCCCCTTGTGATATCTCAGAACTGACCTTCCTGGACTCCCTTCTAGGAGAGGGTCCCACAATAAGCAACTGTGTGGAAGGAAATCAGAATTGAGTAGGATGGGGCAGAAGATGTGGTGGAAAGTAAAAGGCTAGAGGAGCATTTTCTAATATGGTAGCCAATAACCACACGTGGTTATTTAAATTATTTTAATTAATTTAAATTATTAATT